GACCCAGGACAGACCCAAGACAGACCCAGAATAGACTCAGGACAGACCGAGGACAGACCCAGGATAGACCCAGGACAGACCCAGGATAGCCAATGGCTATTCTGCAAATAAGAACAATAAACGACAGTATCTCCAAACAAGGTGGAGGGTAAAGGCTGGTAACTGAGGCTGTCTACTGACTTCCTCACGTGCAGCACAGGCATATGCCTGGATACACACACAAGCAAGAGTGCATACCTACACACACACACACACGCACACGTACACATAAAGATTAAAATAACAAACTTTAAGAAAAAAAATTTGAAAATACATATTCTAAATATATAACAAGGGGGCTGGAGAGAAGGCTTCACAGTTAAGAGCACTGGCTGTTCCCCCAGTGGACCCAGGTTCAATTCTCAGCACCCACATGGTGGCTCACAACTGTCTGTAACTCCACTTCCAGGGGATCCAACACCCTCAAACCAACATACATACAGGCAAAACACTAATGCACACTAAATAAACAAATAGATCTTTAATGTACAACATCATTAAGTGTTCTAGTACCTACTGATACTTAGACGGCACCTGTTCTTATACTACCCAGCCCTAGACTGCTGCCTTCAGAGTTTCTTGTACGTGTTTCTTATGACCTCTGCTGGAGCCACACTTCTGATGTCAGGATGCTTATTTACCACACTGCAGTTTGTGATTATACTGGAGACTTAGGAGGTATAACTCAGCTTCTAAGCCTGAAGTGGGACAAAAATTAGCCAGAGTTAGGGAATTCTGAAGAAGTCTACTTTTAAAGAATGAATTAGTTCATTAACTGACACAAAGAACTGTAGGAGGAGCTAAGGTGGGAGGAGTAAGGAGAGGAAGAGGAGGAGTTGGGAGAGGAAGAGGAAAAGGAAGAGGAGGAGCTGGAGAGAGCAGAAAAGTCGGAGGATAGAGAACCACACAGGTATGGAGAGCACTCGTGGGGAACAACTTATAAACTTATAATTAGGTTAGCTAATTGGGATACAACTCTCTTTGTATGGGCATCTTGTTATTAATCATTATCAAACATATAAAGCCTTTGATTAATCTATAAGAATTAGAGTCTCATTCTCTTACTGGGCCCGCATGGGTGGCAGAATGGTCTGGGCAATGCCCTGCCTTGCAGAGACATCGTGGAAGATTGGCAGAGCCATCTCTCACGCTGGCATCTAGTGGGTGGCAGGGCTGGTGTTTCTGGCAGGCCAGTTCTAGCTGCATCGCGTACGTGGCCTGTGGCCTCAGGCCGAGAAACATGGCGGCTGGGCTAGGCAGAGTCACAGCTGCTTAGATAGTTGGATAAACCAGAGGCCACTTTAATTACTACAACAAAGAATAGCTATACAAAAACCCATTTTCTCATTTTTAGCTGCAGTTAAAAAGTGCACTAAGGATTCTGGTCTTGGGTAACAGCAGTGTTTCTCTGGTTGGATCACATTTGAATGACGCTTAGTAAGAGCGTCAAGATAGTAGAGGCACGTATACCTGTGCCTTGGTCTCTACCCACTGTCTGTCTGTACAACTTTAACTCAGTTGCTTAATGTGTCACAGTCATGTGTCACCCATGTCAATCAGCAAAGGAGCACATGTGCTGCATGGCCCTACCATGGGGTTATGTGGTCTAGTGTCTCTGAAGTACATTGTGTTTGCAGGAAGTTGAAAATATCCAATGATGCATTCTCATAATATAGCCTCTGGTCCAGTGATACAGAACTGGGTAGATAGAGCATTGCTGTATTATGCAACAAGAGTTATTCCAATGTAGGAAGTAACTGACATTTAAACAAACATGTGTTCACACACTCACATAGATACATGTATGCACACACGCACGCACGCGCACACATACACACACACACACACACACACACACACAGTTAATAAAAGTCCACGTATGTATGTATGATATACTTAAAGGCAAATTTAAGTTTAAGATAGTTAGTTGACAATACCAATTCTTAAAGTATTTTATGGAATACATTCTTATCAAAGGTGTACAAATCAATTCAGAAAAACCAGCCCTCACTTACTTTAATACATTTTGTACCAAGATCCCAGCCACCACCCCCATGGTGGTGGGGAGACTGGCTGCACAGACGCCTTCTCGCTTCAGGGTCTTTTCATCAATATTTGAAGCAACTACAAGTGGTGGTGCACACTACATGAAAGAGAATACACCGATTTCAAACGAGATAGAGAAATGCAAAGCTCCAAACGGTATCCCAGTCCACTCCTTGGCTCCTCTGACCTGCAGACACTGATCCGAGAGATCACTGCTAGCTGACAGTGACCGTGAGCCAGGACAATGCCTACCTACCGCAAAGCAAGCCGACTCTCCAGGGACCATGAGCTGGATGTGCCCGGAAACTGCATTCTCACTGACCCCGGATTCCATCCATGTCTGACCAAGTTCATTACAAGCCTTAACAGGAAAAGGCAAAAACACAAAACAGCACAAATTACTGCCAACCTCCTTTGTGGAATGTCAAGTGTTATCTAAACAGATCCTGAGGGTTTCGGGGCCAGAGAGAAGAGCTGCAATCCTTGAAACAGCGAGTATCCATTCCTTATACTGACCCTGCTTCCTGGATTCCTTCAGATTAATGTAAAAACGTACTTTTATAAAAACCTCTGCAATATAAATATTGTATCATTTAAAGGGAAGTCAAAGGAAAATTATTTTATCTTTGGGAAATGTTTTTAATTTCTACATTTAATACTAGTAAGACAAAAAAAAAAAAAAAAGCCAAAACCAATGATGAGCCAGCAAGATGGCTGAGCAGGCAAAGGTGCCTGATGACCTGAGTTTATCCCCATGTCCCACACGGATGGAGAACCAACTCCTGCAAGCCGCCCCAGTGGAGACATGGAGATGGTGGCATATACATGCACACAGATACACACTAAATGAATGTAACAAAAATCCAAAGGTGACTAGAATAAGTATCATAAAATATTCATTGACTTTAAAACACACAGCAGAAACATCTGCTGCTTTATACACAAGCGAGCGGGACACTGGACCATAGCACAGATGAGGTCAGAAGCTCTTATCACACATTTTAAAAGCAGGATAACTATGAAGATAGAATTTAGGCTTGAAACTCGATTTAGAGAGAACATCTGGGTTGAACCCAGGCTGCAGCGCCTCACACAGCACTCACTGTATTTATTGCCATACGAGCTTCAAAGTTGTCCACACAGCTGAGAACTAGGTCAACAGGTTGTCCTTCTTCTAATCCGCCATTACTAGAGAAGGAAAAGAAACTGTATTTGGAAAAAAGGAGGATACAAAATACATCTGTTTGTTTCACCCTACAGCCTGGCAGCTGACACCTGTGGTCCTAGCACCTGGGAGGTTGAGGCAGGAGGACCATCACTGGCTCCATGCCAACCCTTTGACATATGAGATCCTATCTTAAAAAATGACCAAATGCAAATCCATATTAAATCTCCCACTTATTTCTTGAAGCAAGGTATCAAACTTGTAACCCTACTCCCTCAGCTCCCAAGGGCTGGCATCATAGGCACTCACAACCACACCCAGTGGGACATAAAATACACTGTAATTTTATTTGAGTAGCCAATTTTCAATTATAACATCATATTTAATGTTACATATAGAGGAGTTAAGCCACTTTCTGAATAGAGAATTAATTATTCTAATAAATATTACATAAAAATTACTTTTCCTAAAAGCTGAAAACCTGTCAATAGACTTTCTAGCACTTGTTTAGCTGTTTAACAAGACATTACATAAAATATTCATACATTTTACCTTATTCTACTCATGAAATGTTCAAAGTGGTCCACTGTGGTGATATTGTAGTTGTGAACTTCAAACACAACATCAGGGTTAATGTTCCTGAGGGGAAAGCAACCGTTACAAACACTCCTAGTAGGAACAGGACAGAAAGCAGGAGAGAAGGCTGAAGGGGCGAGCGAGACTTTTGGGCGTGAGAACAACAAAGTCCTCTTCTACAGCTTGTGCTGCACTCGAGGATGAAGACACACAGGTCATGTGTCCGGCCGTCGGCCCACAGACTACAACCGCTGCATTGTAGCCATGTGTGCAGCCCAACATACTTTTGATGTCTGTGTCCTTCTGCGAGGTCAACGTAGGACACTAATATAAACTGTCATAGAGACTACAAGAATGCTTCCATCCTAACCCAGAACAATCTATGTGCTGGGAATAAAGCCTTCACTGCAGCTGGAAGGTCATGTTCAGCCTGGCAGTCTCTTTATGTCTTATTCAGTTCAGTTCAAGAATGTTTGAGGCCCCATAGTTTGAGGCTGGCACATCCCATAAGCCAAATCTGGCCCACTCCCTGGTTTGGTATGGCCTTTAGGGTACGAGCTGCCTGGTTTAGGATTTTGCCATGAACCTCTGGTTGGTTCAGTACTCTTCCACAGTCCAGCATCTTCCTGTATGTTGGAATTTGCAACATGTTCCACCACAGGCCATTTAATAGTTTGGGGAAAATCTTTTTCAGGACATTTTGCTACATTAAAAAATAGAATTTGAAGCTGGGCGGTGGTGGCACACTCCTTTAATTCCAGCACTTGGGAGGCAGAGGCAGGTGGATTTCTGAGTTCAAGGCCAGCCTGGTCTACAGAGTGAGTTCTAGGACAACCAGGGCTATACAGAGAAACCCTGTCTCGAAAAACCAAAATATATATATATGGGCAGTGGTGGCGCACGCCTTTAATCCCAGCACTTGGGAGGCAGAGGCAGGCAGATTTCTCAGTTCGAGGCCAGCCTGGTCTACAGAGTGAGTTCCAGGACAGCCAAGGCTACACAGAGAAACCCTGTCTCCAAAAACCAAAAACCAAAAACCAAACAAACAAAATAAAACAAAAACAAAAGCAAAAAACGGAATTTGGATTTCAGAGTCTAAAACCTAATTGTATTGGAACGAAAGCCTGCCCAATCATTTGGCCTGTCTGTGGCAGTCTCACACTGTGGCTCCACAGTTAAACGGTGGCAGCAAAGTGCAAACTATGCACACTAACCCTACACAAAGTCTGCCAATCCAGGTCTAAGAAGTAAGAGAATTCTTTGCAGAAGTGAAATATGCATTTCAGGGAGAGGACCCAAGTCTGCTGACATTCAGCTCAGCTCACAGCAGGTCACAAAACAAGAGCCCACTCCATGCATCCCCTCCCTCCCCCCAGCCCCCACCCCCGGCTCTGATCCTCCGCTACCACCGCAGTCACCTCAGGGTGTGCTCCGCTGCATGGACCTTACTCAGTCCTGCTTGATACGGCTGGAAGAAAAGCCGATTCATGTTGGCCAGCTCCACCTTGTCATAGTCAAAGAGTAGCAACTAAAACGCAAACAGTGGTGTTTCAGTGAAAGATGACGTTAAACTCGCGGATCTTCTATTTAATCGGCTTACTGTTAGTGATGTGAGAACATTAGTTACTTCTAAAGCACTTGGTGTCTCAGTGATTTTCTAAATGCCCTGTGGGGTAAATGCATAGCTCTTTTTATCCTCAGCTTCCTGAAAAGGCTCCTTGGAGCCTGTACTGAATGGCACACAGCCAATACAGAAGCTAGCACAGCTGCCCTCCCTAACCCAGGGCCATGCCACCTCCACAGACTGGCTCACTCAGAGGGGTGGCTGTTCCATGTCATTCTCACACTGCATTTTAGAACTGGGCCAAGACCCTACTGCTTCTTCTTCCTTTGTATGACACACCGCATACCCGAGCCAAGGCGAAAATTCATTACTCCAAAGAAAATTGTCAAGCAGCTTGTTACTGTTTCCTGCTTTATTCTTAGGTCTACTTCAGTGTTTGCCATGCATACGTGTCACTTAAAATGAGCAGAATTTCTCATTTCTTATCAGTAAGAACAGGTTAGAATCTATAAAAATGAGATTTAAACGAGATTTATTCTTTTCTTTTTCGAAGTGCTGGGGTTTGAACAAACTAGGTAATTGTTCTACCACAAAGCTGTATCTCCAAACCTGCTTTTAATCTTCTCAATATAGAAACAAACAAACAAACAAACAAAAAGCCTACAACAACACCCAGAGAACCTTCTGTAACCATGGCTCATTCAATAATCTCTGCTGGGTGAGAGAAAGTTTTTAAATGAGTATGTGGCTCCTAGTTGACTTCGTACAAAGGAGTGGAGGCTGTTCCTCTGCCACTACTTGGCTTAGGTCACAGAGAACTGACATCAACTCTCCGGCCGGCAGCACATCTAGAAAGCAACCCAGCTGACGCAGACTTGGTGACCCAGGCAGCTGCAGACACTTGCAGAGATAAACATGGGCTCTGGCTCTCCAAAGCACTATTCCCCGCTACATTTCATCAGTTAGCTTCTTGCTTATGTTTTAATGATAGAAGAAAGAATTCTTGAAACTCATCCATTTAGTCTTAGTTTACAAACCTAGGTATCCACTGAGACCATTGGAAGTTTCTGAAAATACAGGTGTCTGCATCTCACTGCCAGAATTCCTATTTACCCGTGAGGAGTGCAATGGGCATGAGGGCCATCAAAGTCTTCCCAGGACGCTAACTACAGCAGCCCTTGGGGACCTGCTGCAGCCTCCTCCAGCAGTACCTGAAGTACCCGAGAGCTGTGTGTGGGGCGGAAAGCACGTCCCCAACATTAATACGCAGAGTCTATCAAAAGACTGAGTCTGACTGAGCTGCATGAGCTGCAGTGTGAAGTCTGCCTTCCTAGCAAACACCCAAGCAAGGTTCCAGTCATTCTCAGGGTTTAGACTCTGTGGTGTTAGATGACCTGGAAACCAGTTATGACAATTTTCAGGTTTACCTGACTCCTACAGGATTAAACCACATGACTGAGGTCTAGCAGTCTGCTTTAATATGGCCATATACTCATTCTTGACTACCGACCTCAGGCATCTCCAATATACTATTAATCAACCGGGTACTCAAGTCATTCACAAGCAATATTTTGGTCTGTTTCTATAAACCACTTCAAAGATATTAAAATTATAATAAACTTTGTAGTATTTTGTTGGCATCATTTTAATATTGATAAGTGAGCCAATTTTGTAAGCACTATCTTTTAATATTAACTTATTGACAAACATATTGGAGATCATGTTTTATCTATATAAGTTATATATATATACATTATATGAAATATATTAAGTATATAATTATATAATATGTAATATGAAATATAATTATTCATTTAAATACATTATAAGAAACTAACAAGAGGGCAGATCATTGTGGAAAACGTCAATCTATCCGATCACTAAGTAACATCAACAGTTCTTGGCTTTATAAATTTAAGACTGACAGATTAAATTCAGACAGAAGGTTACTTCTTTTCTACAATTCAAGTTTGTTTTTAAAAGAAAACAAAAGGGGCTAAATAAAAAATCTGAGACATCCCCCAGTTCGAACTCAAAGCCTTCCCCTCTGTGTGTGTGTATTTAACTGAGTGCTTGGTAAGATTTTTCAAGATCTGAGTGTTTCACCTGCATACTTTATCCACATAAATATACTGTCTTTTATACCAAAGTAAGACAAAACTTCGTCTTTAAAAACTGTTGTGGGGAGAGACTGAGAGGAATGGAGGGAGAAGAGGCTGAGTCAAGATATATGAGAGAAAAATACATTAAAAAATAGCAATAAATCTATAAAGAAGACATGTGGCAGAAACTTAAATTCTTCCAGGGTCAGCACTTCCTGAAATCAAAATATATGCTCCAGGCTCTATCCTGTTCCCAAAGGTTGTACTGAGCTCACCAGCTGTGCCATTTTGAGTTAGCCAACAGTGCAGAGTGTGAGGTTGAACTCTTGACCTCTCACAGTGGGGCATGGGAGCCCTTACATCAGGAATATACCCCAACAAAATCCCCATTGGGTGAGCTTGCCTGCTTGATTCACTCGGTGTGACTATGCACCCTCCTGCAGAAGTAACCTTTCTGCCTTGCTAGAGTGCCACAGATAGTGTGGTGTTTTGGGAGTGACCCCAGAACCATTTTTAACAGGCTCTATATCTAAAATAATTCCAAATTATTTACAGAGTACACTGCCCTAAACCAAAGTTTCTGGACACAATTAAGTACCCTTTGTTCAATGAACAATAATATGAGCCTTTGTCTGGAGAAAGCTATGACTCGGCCTCTCGTGAAGAGCAATTTACCCCAATGCAACAGAAATCATAGCCACTGATTAAGCAGTAGAGTGCTTCTCTGTACCTGATTTGCTCCAGGAGTGAATAGTTTCCTACTGGACAGGCAAAGAGAAATCTTTTTACCTTACCAATGCCACATCTTGTCAGCATTTCGGCAGTCACACTACCAACTCCACCAACACCTACTATTGCTACAGCATGGGTACGGATTTTCTGTGAAACGCAGAACAGTACATGTTAATACTCTGCTTGATCTGTCACTAGAAATTAGTCTCATTTCTGAAAATCAAGTTCACCATACCTCATAGTCACTGACAATTCCCATCCGTTTCAGTGCCATCAGACGGCTTAAAGAAAAACAAAACAAATTTAGAGTTTTTGCAGTCTTTCTTATTCATTTTTATTTTCATGCAGACAGGTGAGTTGCCTGTACATGCAGGACTGCAGGTATATGCAGTGCCTGAGAGGCCAGAGGAGGGTGGCAGATCACCTGGGACTAGAGTTACTACGCATGGTGACCTGCCATGTCGGTGCTGGGGATCAAACCTGGGTCCCGTGAGGAGCAGCCAGTGCTTTCCAGCCCCAAGCTTGGAATCTTTTAGTTAACAGTGATATTTATAGACAGGCACCACCAAAGGAAACAATCACCAAGACTCAATTATTACTACTTCAAAAGGGGAGGAATCTAGCTGGACATGGTGGCATGCATCTGTAATCCTACCACTTGAGAGGTTGAGACAGGAGGATTAGGAATTCACAACCAACCTGAGAAACACAGCAAATTTGATGACCAATTGAACTTAAAAGCTAACTTTTATTCAATAAATTACTGAGTTTAAAACCATGGACACTCCTAGGTGGTGCCTGTGAAACAGTCTTCTTCTTCTAAAATACTTTCTTTATCTTAATGTGTAGCCAAGAGCTGCACCTAATGGCTTAAATGTTAAGGGTCGAAGTGAAATGTCACTATTTTCTCTTGCTTTGTTAATATATAAAAACATGCAATAAGCTCATGGCTTCTGCCCATAATGAAGGATATCTGCTTTTGAAAGCATCTGTTGTCTGCCAAGGATTTCTAAGAAGCACTGCTCATCTTCTGTGTGTGTGTGTGTGTGTGTGTGTGTGTGTGTGTGACCCTATCTAGAGCTCCACACACACTATTACAGTATGTTCACTTCTTACTTCTCAGTCTTCTGAAGACTTTACTCATAAATGCCCATCACAGATGCACAAACACTTCCTCTCAGTAGCCTTGGAAGATAATGGTGACAAGAAACTGGGTACAGCAGGCAGAAGGGTTGCACCATACGGATGGATGGCTTGAATTGATTTTTTTAAATAAAATGTTATTTTTTTTCTCCCGTGCGGGAAAAGGGGGTCTCACTACACAGCCCAAGGTGGCCTTGAACTCCTGTAGCCCAGGCTGGCCTGGAACTCACGGCAACCCCTCTACCTCACCCTCCCGAATGCTAGGAGGAATCGTGAGCCAGCCCGCTTAGCGAGGACTATCTTCTGACTAGCATAAGACGTGGCCTTGTCCATCTGGGACCAGGACCTCCACAGCAAGAGAGCAGCAGGAGGCCGGCTGAATCCCTCAAGCGGAGCGTGGCCCTGCCCGCCCCGCTATGGATCACCTGTAGGGATTGGAGTCCACCACCTCGTCGCTCATCTCCTGGATGCGGGTCCGGCCGCAGTGGCCATCCCCTTCGGACCGCCGGCTTCTCTCCCGGGCGAGTTCCTGCTCCAGCTCCTCAACCCGCTGTCGTAGCCGCTCCACCGATTCAGCCATAGCTGGGCTCCCAGTGGCCTCCGATCCCAGGCCGGACCGCCGCCGTCGCCGTCGTTTCCGCCTCCCCACGCTGCTTCGCTAGGTCCACGAAGTGCAGGAGGACTAAACACAGCCTTCCAGGTCCTGACAACAGGGAAGCGCCTCCAAGGATCCCAGCAAGACACGTCTCCGACACGCCCACCGCGCTTCCGGCGTGCCGCTTCCGGTGGGCCGCCGCCCCCATCGCTCCGCTCGGTAAAAATACTCCTGAAAACACCTTTCTTCTCTAGAACCAAGAACTAGGTATCAGCAGGGCCAGCGTCACATGTCCAGGTCAAGTCAACGACGATTCTGCATTTCTAATATAGGAGACCATGAGAAACACCGAGGTCTTTTAATGCAGGGCTCAAGGTTCTGGCGGACTCTCTTCTTGGACGGACCTCACAGGTCTTCCGCTGGCGCGTCATTCTTGGGTGACAGATGTTTGAGTCTTCACTCGCCAGAGTTGCGTTTGTGATCTTGTTTTTCTATAAGACTGAGGCCTCCAGCTCTGATGCTGATAGTAAATTCTAAGTCTGGGTCCACAACAGGCGATTCTTTTATTTCGCCTCCAGATTCCGAGTCACTAGACTCAGCCGCCCACACTGCTTTGCAACACTGCCCAGAGTCCTCGTGATTGGCTTCCCCTAAGCCCTGCCTGACCACGCCCCCAAGCTCTGGTATCCTTTCTGCCTCGGCGCTACTTCTGCGCAGTCTGTGGATTCCTCATCTCTGTACCCAGTGACAGCAGTGGCAGTCATGGAGATGGATGTCACCAGTGACACCGTGGAAGTGCTACCCCAGCACAAGTTCGACATCAGGTCCCTGGAGGCGTACCTGAATCAGCACTTGCCCGGCTTTGGGTCAGATCCTCGGGCTGTGCTGACTGTTACTCAATACAGGTATCAACCATAGCCTTTGCCTCCTGCTGGAATATGTCTGTGCTTGGCGCTTTTCTTCCTTTGGCCCTGGGTGGGTGTCTCATTTACCTGGGCGCGATATCTTTCCCTGCAAGGACGCTTCCTGCATAATTTGTACTTGAATCCCAGGCTAATCTGAATTAGAGGGCAGTAGCTGAGGTGCAGTATCCATTGTGCAGTGCAGTAAGTATTGTTAAGGACTAAAATTATGTGACTAATTCACTGAGATGCGGCTGAACACTCTTGGATACCTAATAGATACCTTTTGTGACCTTTTGTGCTACAGTCTAAAGATCATTTTCTGAGGGGCTGGTGCCATTTTGTTTAATTAACCTTAGTCACCTGAGGCTAGGTTAATAATACCAGCTAAAATGTACAAATCCAGATTCTAGACATTCCACTTCACCGTTTTTAGCATCACTTAAGGCCTAAGTTCCTGAAGCAACGGAATTAAACTGGATGAGGTGATTCTGAGAGTACCTTTCCCCACTGACAAGTGAATCTGGTTTTAGTCTGGTGTTTTACAATAGAGAGTTTTAAACTTTCATATTGTCCCAGTATAAAATCATTTCATATGGTTCCAGTAAACTGTGTCTGGCCTTTCTATCTGGGGATTTAACTGTAACATAAATTTGGAGATAAGAGTTTCTTTCTTGTAACATTTGTCTGTTCCCATTAGTCTTGATAAGGAAATGAAGTAATTTAGGTGAAAGGGCTTAAGCATTGAAATATCTGTGGAGAGGTAGAATAAAGAATAGTTGACACTTGTAAATTTAATGCTTTGTGTTGTAAACAGACTGAAACAGATCAAAGTTCAAATTTCAATGACTAGTCTGTCCACTCTGGAATTTGGCCAGCTTATTGTCCTGCTTTCAGATAAAGGTTATATATATTCAAGTCACTGTGGTCCTGTGTTGATTTAAAATAATTCTGAATTAAGTTGATATTCAACAAAATCATGCTCAATAAATAAAATTAGTTGTAATACAAAAAAAAATACTTCTGAAGCCAAGCCTGGTATACATGGCTTTAATCCCAACAATCTAAAGATCCCTGGAAAGGGGATAACATCCAAAGTGTAAATAAAATATCCAATAAAAATTAATTTTAAAAGATCCCTAGAGATTGGAGGCTGAGGAAAAATGATTGTGAATTTGAGGCCAGTCTGGGTTATGTAGCAATACTTGGTCTCAGAAACTATTTTTTTTTCAGAAATGTTAAATAAGCTTGATTTACCATAGATGTATGGAAGTACATATTCAACAGAAAAAAACACATTCATTTCTGGGACATATGAAAAATTATAAAAATAAAGATATACTTAAGGCCACAAAAATCTCAAAAGAATCTTTTAAAAGTTTGGGCCAGTGATATGGCTTATCAGGTAAAGGCACCCTCTGCCAAGCATGGCAGCCTGAGATAACACCTGGAAACCACACTGTGGAAAAAGAGAACCAATTCCTGCATCTTGTCCTCTGACCTCCACACATGTGCCACCAAATAAATAAATATAAAAGGGAAAGCCACACATTTTCACAATATAAATCAAACTTTCTAACAGAATGAAAACAGGCAAGAAATACAATGTAGAAACTACTTGCTCTGTGTGTTGAAAAGCCAAGAGCTACAAAGATATACTTTAAGTCAAGGGTACAGACCACTTGTGTCTCTGTATCTTAGCAACAGTTGAGATATGACACCCGAAAGCTCTGATAAAAACATTCCAAAAAATTATCTAATAGAAGGTATTCAAGACCTTTGTATAGAATATGAAAAAAACCTTATTAGCAGTTTTTAAAGAACCTTAGAAATAACATACATGAGCAGGAAAAAATCATGATTGACAAATTTTGCTCTTTGTCCCAACTGATCTATAGATTCAAAGCAATGTCAATCAAAATTCTGTTTTTTTTATCTGATTTGAAAAAAACTGCTTCTAAATTATATGCAAAAGGTCACAAAGCATTAACAGAAACATTCCTTAAAAAATCAACCAAGTGGGAAATCTGAATTAAGGTGACATGTTATTAGTTAGATATATCAGTGTGATAGTTCACAAAATACCCACATGTTTCTGGAACTTACTTGACAGTGCTTACGCTTAGAATCAACTTGGGAAAATGAGAAGATACCCAGTAAAAAGACAACAAGAGCCTGTGGTGGGATAATTACTATCCCTATGAAATATTACTTTCTATAGGAAACTGCCACGCAGGCTGTGGGCCTGCCTCAGTAAGTGGAGTGTCCCCTGGCATGCATGAAGCTAAGGGATCAATCCCCAGTGCCATATAAACCAGGAATAGTTTGTGGTGGTACTTGTAATCTTAGCACTTGGGAGTATTGGTAATAATATTAGAAGCTCAAAGTTGTCCTTGAACAACTTCACAAAATTGTTCCGATTTCCTTGTGCATATGGTGGCATGCATGTTCACGCACATCATGCGCACACACTATATATGTGTATAGGTGTGTGTATATATACATATATGCGTGTATTATGTGTATATACACACACATACACAATCTCCAGCATTGGTTAGGATATGAGACATTAAGTACTCATTAAGGTATAGGTCAGCATAGCTTACTGTTGACCAACACTTGACATTGTCCTGTAAAACTGAGGTCAGAAAGACATGCGTGCCTCTTGCCTTAGAAATATTACTTCTTAGAGTCAAGAAAATGTCATACCAGGATATCAGGGAATAATCTACAGAATATTCATTGTGTTGCTTGTAATAGAAAAACTTTTAGCCGGGCAGTGATGGCACATGCCTTTAATCCCAGCACTTGGGAGGCAGAGGCAGGTGGATTTCTGAGTTCGACGCCAGCCTGGACTACAGAGTGAGTTCCAGGACAGCCAGGGCTATACAGAGAAACCCTGTCTTGAAAAACCCCAAAAAAAAAAAAGAAAACTTTTTAAAAAACGCAGTAGTATTTATTAGTAGTAGAATGGAAGGATAAATTGCTCATTCGGCATAGAGGACTACTCTCAGTGAGATGGTTCACAGCTGTGCATTGTAGCAAGAATTTTGATTTCTTTAAAAAACATAAATATTATGGGAATGTATTTTCATTTTAATCCCAGGAGTGATTTGGAATTTGGGGTATATCAGAGCATGTATAAAAGCTAAGGCCCTGAGAGGTAGTGGGAGTTGGTCGCAGTTTGTTAAGTAGTCATGTCCTGACATCGAAGGTCAAACTTGCCCCAAGGAATTCAACACCCCTGATAAGCAGGAAGTAGTCTAATGATAACATCCCCCCCCTTCCCCTCTATCCTTTCTCTCCTACTGAGTGTTAGGGGGTTGAAAGGATGGAAGGAAAAACAACCCACAAAGTAGCAAAGAACAGCCACAGTACACAGCACAAATAAAAGAACAGCCACAGTACACAGCACAAATAAAACCATAGATAAACAGAGATCACGTGGCTTAAGGAGAAAGACTTCAAGAGGACAGTAAGTATGAAATTCAAGACACAGGGCTCTTCACAGATCTGCTGATCCCTTCAAGATAGAATATGATATTGCTTTGCTATAGTTATTCTGTGCCTTCCTGACTTTGAAAATATTCTTTTTTCTTATACATTTGTTTTAGCTTTCAAATATTAAGTCATTTGGGGGAATATAAAATATAATTCAACAGCAATATAAATATTATGTAGCTCAATAAAACAAAACTTGTGTCATCTAGCCTTTGTGCATAATACATAGCCAGCCCTGGGGCTGCTTGTCTGCAGTCTCCATCTATTTGGAGAAGATAGACAACAATGATTTCTAAATATTCGCAGGTTTGTATGTGCTGTGAGGTGATAGAGAACGTTGAGGACAAGGCAGGAAGGGTGCCTTGAGAAGATAGCATTTTACAAAGACTGAAAGGGGTTGGGGATGAGACCATGGAAGCTTTCCAGACAGGAGGACCACTGTATCGAAGGCCAGGGCTGAGAACTGTGCCTTGTATTTTGGGGAATACAGACCAGTGTGGGCTGAGCACTGTAAGCAAGGGCAGGGGTATCCGTTTGGATTGTCATAAGGACTTTGTCCTTTGCTTTCAGTGGAAATAGGGAAGGTCAGAGATTTTTGAGTAGAAGAGGAAGGAATTTGTCATTATTTTGAACAGAAATTCTGCTTGCTCTGTTGAGAGTTGGCCAAAGAGAGCAAAGGTGGAAACCAACCCAGTGTATTACAGAGTACCAGTGAGGTGGGGGAAAATAGGTGAGAGGTGAGCGCAGCGCAGCCCAGGTAGATTTTGAAAGAGTCATTAATAAGATTGGAAGGGAAGAGATAAGAGCTGGTCTCGTTGCCATGGTAACTTAGCATGGGGTCATCAGGAACTAAAATGGAGATGCCCATACAGGGTTTCATGGTTTGAGCGTGAAATATCCCCACAGGTTTATGCATTTGAACTCTTGGTCCCTAGCTTCAGTAGTTGGTGGAACTGAGGCAGGCAAATGTAGGCAAAGTTTCACCACTTGATACTCCAAGTGCCATTTTCTAATGATCCACTTTGGGCCCGGGACCCCTACCTGACTCAAGCTACGTGTGTTTTCCCCTCCAAATAATGCAGTAGGTTGTTCCTACTGTGGCAGTTCCTGAGTGACTTGATTTTTGTGCTTGGTGTGTCCATTCACGTGTGTCTCAGAACATATGGAAAGTGTCCTGGAACTAGATGCTAAAGGCCCATCCAGTCTGGAGTAGTTTGGAGGGTATACACAGAAAGACAAATTGCGTCCTCTGAGTGAACTTTTAGGGGGAACTGGTATTTACCAATTTATGCCTATGCTTGATTGGACATGTGTATGAGGAAAATCAGGTTCACTACAGGAAAGTACATTCACAGTAAAGACTAACCCAAGGTTGTCAAGGCAGAGAACCATTCTCAGTATGCCCCTTAGCAACCAAGCGACCCTCCTCCTGCTGGATCCACATAAGAAAGCCCCTAACAGTAACCGCTGCTTTGGGTGCCCTTGCTCAAGTAGCCGACGAGTTCCTTGTATGACACCCCCTTGCCATCTCTCTATAAAACTCCTTGCTGCCTTGACACTGCTGTGCAGTTTTTGAAAATAACCAAAACCTGGAAATACCCAGACTGCTAACAACAGAACCTTTGGGACATGTAGCCTAGCTCATAGAAGTTGGTTGCAGGGGCCAGGCCTTGAAGGTCATACATATTTCCAATGCAAGCTAGGACTCTGCTTCCTGATTTGCCAAGATGTGAGAAGCATTTGCTACAATCTCCTGCCGCCACAGACTGAGCCACCGTGCCATGTTTTCCCATGAGATAGACCACATACCCTAAAACTCGGAGCCAAATAAGAGGTGTTGTTCTATGTCCCATAAATTACTTCTGACATTTTGTCATAGTGATAAGAAATGTTACTAATGTAGAAAAAATGTAAAAGTTCTGTTTTGCTAAGTTGCAGAATGGTTTCTAGACAGTTAAATGAACGTGTTAGAGTAACCAGCTGGGTATAGATGCAGGGTAGAGACCTGGTCTAGACAGGTTTGAGAGCAGTTGACAGAGAAGGTATGGGAAGCCACAAGACAGAACAGCTTACCTAGAACAAGAATCTAGGGGGCTGGAGAGATGACTCAGTGGTTAAGAGCACTGACTGCTTTTCCAGAAGATCTGAATTCAAGTCCCAGCAACTACATGGTGGCTCAAACTATTCATAATGGGATCTGATGCAGGTGTGTGTGTAGATAGAGCCTCATATATATTATACAAAATCTATGGAAGAGAGAGAGAGAGAGAGAGAGAGAGAGAGAGAGAGAGAGAGAGAGAGAGAGAGATCTAAATAAAATGGTGGTTTGGAAATCCAACCACAGCAGCCCAGTGTTAAGTTGAAGAGTTTCAAGAGTTATAAAGGAGGTTGAGAAGGAGTGCCCAGAGGCAGCCGTGTGTCGTGGTTCTCGTGGTTTGTGCCAGTGGCCTTGGAAGGGCAGCATAAGTGGAAAGACCGGAATGAAAGCTTGCTGGATGGAGGGAAATGGGTTTACGACAGACTACGAGGAAGAGAATTGCAGCTTCTGAGGCAAAGAGAGACTTGAAAAGACTTCAGGGATAGCTAGATGTTTATATGCAGCTAGAAGTGCTTAAGAAATTATGCAAGGGGAGATTATAGAACAAAGAGCCCGAGAAAACAAGAATGATCTGCAATCCAGAAGACAGAATTGTCCAAGCTGCTAGTGGCAGCCTGCCCAAGCTGCTGGCAGTACCCTGTGGTCAGCCCAGTGTTGAGATACATTTATTTTGGATTCTTGTGTTTTCTGAGATTTCAGTAGGATTTCAGGAAGGCGACATGTTTATAATTGACCTTTGAAACCTTTGCTTTTCTAGATCAGGACAGTCAAACCCAACCTTCTTTCTCCAGAAGGGATCTCAAGCATATGTTCTCAGGAAGAAACCACCCGGCTCTCTTCTTCCCAAAGCACATAAGGTATGGCACAGAAATGTAGCGAGCCTTTCTTCGATCACAAATAAATGCCTCTAAAAACCACAAGAACAGTTTAATCTGCATTTGAAGGCCTCCTCCCAGTTACTGAGTGATGCAAGTGTGCCTCACTCTTAATTGACTATTTTCTTGAATTGCACATTCTTTTGTTTTAAAAAGAATCTGTGGTTGAAGGCTTAAAGCTGTGTTTAAACTGGCATCCTAGTGGGCTTCGCGGTTCCCTGTGGCTACGTTCGTTGCTACTCATTTCTAGATGCTTCTTTTCTGCACACCAGGAGTATCATCTGTAACGATGAACATTACTTGATGGGTTATTTTAACTTGGGCATCTTATAATCATTCAGGGGTTAAAGAAAAGAAAGACCTGACTAGTCATTAATACAGTAGACTTTAAGGTTTAGAATCATCAGGGGAAATTATAAAAGATGTCTGTTACAAATTAAGTTTTCTAATTATTATGAGCTGCTCACTACCCACTAAATACATAAACCAAGGTATCATGTTATACCTCATAAATACATGCAAACGTGATTTACCAGTCAATTTTTAAACTAAATTTTCCTGGTTGCAAAACAAGGTATTATCTCTAGATAGTTAGAGAGCAGGAGGGGACATAAATCTAAGTCCTGCAAAATGTCCTAAGTACGCTCTGCATATGTGAGTGGTACTGGAATCCTGTACTTTCTAGTCATTCACTGGGAGAGACCACTGTGGGTGGGTCTGATACTGTAACAGGAGAACACAGATGCTCATTTTCTTGGCTCCATCATACTCTTGAAAACATGAAGTAACTTAGATGCTTAAAAAAAGAAGTTGGGTAACTTTTGTTAATGTCAGAATGGCATGACTGAAGGCAAACTCCCACCCCCATCCTGCCTAGAAATGTCTACCTCAGAAGCAATCCTCTCTGAGTTTTCTCCTGACTATGTCCCACTAGAACACAGCAGAACACATCGTGCGCTCCGCCTAAATACAGCTCGGTGGATGGAGAGTACCTTGTCTGAACTTCCTCAGCTTCCCCCAAGGCTGAGTTTTAAAAAGCAGCATCCCGCTTTGCTGTCTCTGTGTATGTAATTCCCTAACCCGTTTGTCCCCGACTCCCTGCCACCCCCTCTCATTTCCTGCACATCTCTTTCAGTAGCCCTTGGTACTATGGACTATTCTCACTTTGGGTTAATTCCTTCCCTGGTCCCTGACTGCATTACTCCTTGAACTCAAGCTGAGCAATGTGTTCTCCTCTCCCTAGAAACCTTTGTCCCAGTCACCTTTGTCCCAGTCTGGAGTAGCCCTTTCCACACGCACCAGTCATCCTTGCTCACCCATATTACAGCTCTGCTGTAAGCCGCACCCATGGGTCCTTTCCGGGTCTGCACATGTGTTCTGCCCAAGGATATAAGTTTTCCTTTTCTCTTACTTAAGCCCCATATTTAATATCAACTTCTGGGAGCCTGGTTTCCCTTAGAGTTGCCTGGGTCCCCAAAACAGACCAGATACACATAAGGGTCTTCATGCCTCTTCCTTGAAGTTTGTTCTCCCTTGATGATCAGAAGGAACGGGTGATTTTCCCTTCCCACAACCATACCTGCCTTCTCCAGCTCCTGTATCTGACTAGAGAAACGAAATCCTAAGCCTCCTGAAAACTACAAAGGGAGAGGTGAAGCCAATAAGCAAGGAACTGCTGAAAACACAGAAATGCTCTTTAACAAAACCTGTGAAATATGGCCAGACTGTTGCCTTCATGCTACAAGAGCCAGTATTAAGCCTCATGCAAATGCCCATCCTTTAACCCCAGTTAAATTACCATGCTTTAGAGATGGCCTGCTTTGTAATTGTAATGACTGAACAAGCTTCCTGTTAAGGGAATCGTTACTATCAGCACTGGGTTATTTATTGACACATGTAGTTAAGGTTAGCTCACATGTAGTTACTAAATTTCTCTGTTTCTGGATTTTAATAATCCTATCTAGATTGACAGAGAATTCAAGGTCCAGAAAGCCTTGTTTTCCGTTGGATTTCCTGTTCCCAAGCCTCTGCTGTACTGCAGCGATGCTTCCATCATCGGAACGGAGTTTTATCTGATGGAACGAGTGCAGGTAAGGTAACCAACCATCTTATTTGGTTGTTGCTTTTATATCACTAACTTGTTCTTAAATACTCCTCTAGGTGGCAGTAAAGAGCTAGCAACAATTGTAGCCAAACAGGAAGATGTTCTTATGAGGGTGGGGGGCACTCTTCCATATAGAAAGAACAAACCATTAAGAGCAAATTCAAATTGTTTTTAATTTGAAGATGTGGGTTATAAGCAGTTTAAAGCCTTCAGGTCCACCCTGGCATGTCCTTGAATTTTGCCTTTGGTATGTATCCACATACACATTTCACAGACAAGCCTATGTCTAACATGCTCTGTAGATTGCTGATTTTGTCTGTCAGATATTTAAAAACTGGCCATTGGGATCACTTTGACAGGGTCGGATCTTTCGTGATTTTTCCATTCCTGGAGTTAGCCCAGCAGAACGTGCAGCTATATATGTGTCTGTGGTAGAAACCCTGGCATGGCTACATTCTCTGGATGTACACTCACTGGAGCTGGACAAATACGGTACCGGAGTTGGGTACTGCAAAAGGCAGGTAAGTCGTCTATGTTAAAAAGTACTGCATGGTCTCAGAAATAATGCACTGTGACTGACTAGTCAAAGTAAACCTTGTTATTGTATTTTGTGTGTGCTTGCGTGCGTGCGTGCGTGCGTGCGTGCGTGCGTGTGTGTGTGTGTGTGTGTGTTGAGTGGATGAACCTGTGTATGCAGGTACACAAGCATGGCATATGGTTGTGGAATGAAGACCAGAAATTAGCCTCAAGTTTCATTAATATTCAGGAGCCACAGAGGACATTGTGCAGGTGGGGAAAGGTAGGGGGTAAGGGTAAGGGCGAGGGTCCTGGCTTCTGGCATCTCCCCCTTCTCTGTTTAGTTAGAGAAGGCGTCTTATGTTCAATCCCAACTATGTGAGTTTTGAATTTGGATGTCTAATTATGGGGGGTCTTAGACAAGTTCACAACCCCAAAACACTGATGTGAGATGAGTCACATCGATGGTCGAAGGCTTTAGGCTGTCGACGATGGGCAACGTCAAGGGACTCCGATGTGGGTGAAAGGAGGGTGAGAGCCCTGTCTTAGGCCATGTAGGCTGCACCCACTCCCAGCACCACGCACTCCTTTTCGGCTGCATTGGGTGGGCCCCTGGGAAGTGGACCTACAATAATCCCGTCATTGGACTAACTCACAGCCATCCTAGCACAATGTCCTCTGAAGCTTGGCAACTGCAAGATCCTGTTTAGCAACTGCAGATAGACTCAAAGCAGAGTACCATGTCTTCTTAAGAATAGCAGGGAGACCATAACTCAAGCAGTGTACCATATCTTCTGAAGAACTGCAGGTAGATCATAATTCAAGGCAGTGTACCATATAGACTATGACATGTTTCAAGGCACAGGCCAAGAAGATTTTGTACTTTTCCACCACCTGGACCCTCTTACCCCCTCCCCTTGTAAAACATGCTATAAAAAAAAGCATTTCATGTTCAAAAAAAAAAAGAAATAAAAAAATGGTAATAATTGTAAAAAAAACAAAAAAACCAAAAAAAACAAATAGCACTAAAAAAAAAAAATATTCAGGAGCCACCCACCTTATTTTTTAGGAAGGCACCTCATTGGTTGACCTTAAGCTTTCCGATTAGGCCAGTCTGGGTGGACAGCGAGCGTGGGGGCTCCTCCTGCCTCTACTCCTCAGTATTAGAATTCCAAGCATGTACCACCATGCCTGTCTGGGTTTCTTTGTCTTCTTTTCTTCCTTCTTTCCTTCTTTCCTTCCTTCCTTCCTCCCTTCTTTTCTCTTCATGTGGGTTCTGGGGACCATGCTTAGGCCCCCATGCTTGCCCAGCAAGCCCTTTACTGACTGAGGCATCTCCCCTCCCACTAACTTTATTTTTTAGATAACTTTTATTTATAAAAGCTTCCATTTCTGCTTTTCACTTGGTTTACCAGTAGATTTTCTTCTCAGCTTCCCCTTTCTAGGTTGTGCTAAGCAAAAATCTATTAAGCTTTTTATCAATTTAATATTTGTGAGATGCATTTTTAAATATTAAGAAATCAGAAATATGTTCCTGCCCAAAAGAAACCTGTGGTTCTGTCTAAGAGACCCATTCAGGAGTCTCATACAGATGGAGCTGGGGAATGGTCTACTTCCCTGGGTTTACTACCTTCTAGTAACCTGTTCAGTGCTCAGTGCATGAGCTGCATGTCCAGCGCGCGGGCGTTGGCATGCCTGTGCTTGGATGTGGAAAGGAACTAATGCAGAGCATTAAGAATGAGATGGTGACCATGGCAACCAAACGCAAGTGAGGCCAGGCACTCATGGGCTGCATTCCATTGTAAGTACATCCTTTGCGAATAAGGTGCGAAGATATGAGGGAACAGAGTATTCACTGTGTGCTGTATTGGAGCTAAGTGAGCAGTAGACTACCTCGTTTTAAAACCTCTGGAGAGCTCACAAGACATAGATATTACTCTCATTTTGCAGATGAGTAATTTGAGGTTTATACTGACATAATAATTCACAAGTAAGTTCCTAGACGTTATATAACTTCCAGCCAGTAAGACCCCAAAGTTGAAGACCTTTGTTCTGTTGTATTAAATTGAGCAGACAGACATTGGGCAAAGGAGGGAGTTGAACAGCTGAATAATGTAGTCTCATTTGTAAGAGGACTCTGAGAGTAGAAGGATCTTTTTGTCTGCTTCTAATTCTAAGAGCAATATAAAGTTGGCTCTACTCTTACTGGTGCATTTAAAATACTCTGTGGGTGAGGGAAAGGTGTTAAATGGGAAAAGCTTTCTAGCCTTCATTGCCCCCTTTTCAGGGAGAAATTGTCTGCTTGTGGGGTGTATGTGTGTGTGTGTGTGTGTGTGTGTGTGTGTGTGTGTGTGTGAGAGAGAGAGAGAGAGAGAGAGAGAGAGAGATGATCTAATTATCTATGCATGTGATATGTGTACATGTGTGAAATTATCTATGCTGGGGGTTGTTTGTATGCATTTCTTTCTTCCATGAGGTAGTTATTGAGTAAAGACCTTTCTTGACACCTATGCCAGCATTTGACACCTATGCCAGCATTTGACACCTATGCCAGCATTTGACACCTATGCCAGCATTTTTACTTCTTGTCCGATAGAAACCTACATAGGTAAAATGGAGCAAACGGGAACAGAAACTTGAATGTTTGGGGTTTCAGGCTGCTAGGAGTTTGCTGTGAGCACTGTTTTGTTAAGCATTCAGGAGTAAGGTGGACTTGGGCACAGATGAACTGGTCTTAGAGTCACTGAGTCTGGAACATTCTATCTGTACCTCTATCACTTTCCAGGTGTCCACCTGGACAAAGCAGTACCAGGCTTCAGCCCATCAGAACATCCCTGCCATGGACCAGCTCTCCACGTGGCTGATGAAGAATCTGCCAGATAATGACAATGAGGAGTGCCTGATTCATGGAGACTTCAAGCTGGATAACATAGTTTTCCACCCCAAAGAGGTACCTTGAGCCGGGTTTGTGACACATTGTCTAGGTCTGACCTGAGACTCCATAAGGAAACAGATGTCCCCCGCATCCCCCACTGTCCTGAAGGAGCCCAGATCAGTCTGTTCCTCCCAACAGCTCAGACTGTCTCCAACTTGAAGCCTCTGGAGATGAGTCCTACAGATTTTATGGCATTGGACTCTGTCTGCCTTGGGACTGGTCCTGATCTTAAACAGTAACACAGTCATCATTTAAGCAGAACTTGGAGGTTGCTGTGTGTCACTCTTGTTTAGGAAGACTTCAATCTACTACTTAAAATGCCAGCCTCATGGAATAACATGGCTGGCAGAATTCATGTCAACAAGCATTCAGTTGTGAGCAACTGCACTCAGAAACATTCATGTCTCTCCCAATGAGCATAAAACACAGATGGAGAGAAAAGATAATCAACAAACAGCAACAGAGCAATGTTAGACCCACACGCCAACATACCATCCAACAACCTACACAAAGAGGCATAGAAGGAATGGCCCTGAGTGGACTAATGTGAACAGTTCAAAATAACACCCCACCCCCCACCCCCACCCCCACTCCCACCCCCTGGGGTGGAGAGATGGCTCAGCAGTTAACACTGGCTGCTCTCCAGCACCAGAGAATCCAGTGCCCCCTTCTGGCTTCTTCAGGCAGTGCATGTGTGTGATGTACTTAAATGCAGGCAAAGCACACATACACATAAATGAAGTTACATTTAAAATAATGGAAAGTTAATACAGGGAGGTCCCAAGAGACCTGTTCTCCGCATTCGTCAACATAGGTCTTAACTAAGCAGGCCAGTACATGGCTGATGCCCACCTTACTTCAGCTCCCCTCCTTGCCTTTCCCCTTTAGCTTCTGTGAGTGCCTGCCAGCCCCTGGCTCTGACAGCCCTGTCTGCCTCCTTTGAGTTTTCAGATTTGATTTCCCCTTCTTCAGGCTCCATGATTCCTGTATGACTTTGTTTGACTTTTTACCCAGCAGGGACAATGACCACAATCTGTTGTTTCAAAAACTGTCTTCTTTAGTATTTATTTAATTAAAATATTTAGACCAGAGGTATGCATGTGAATTAGAATGTTTCCTGAGTATAGAACATTTAGTTTTTAAACCCCGAACTTAGATTTTCAATTTTTTGATGCATAATATCACGTGGGTATAACTTCATATCTTAATCAGATAAGACCTTCTTTCCCTTCTTTCCTTTTCAGTGCCTATGAACTGAACCTAAACCCTGGAAAATACTTTACCAATGACCTGTGTTTCCCAGCCCTTTACCTTTTTTTTTTTTTTTTTTTTGAGACAGTATCATTTACTCTGTAACCCAGGCTCTGTTTTGAATCTAGATCTGTATGATTCAGAGTCCACAATAACCTACAATTCTACAATAATATGTCTAAATTTTTCCAAAGAATCAAAGAAGTGAAAAACAAAGGTGCATGGAGGCTTGGACTACCCCGACTCACATCGTGTTTGTGTGTGTGCGTGTGTGTGTGTGTGCGTGTGTGTGTAGGTCAGAAGACAACGTGAAAGGATCTTTCCTGATTATTTTATATAACTTACTTTAAAACATTATTGCTGTAATGGTATATCTATTACATATGTAGTTATTTTCATCACCAGAGCAAACTCTTGCTTTTACATTAATTCTTAAAAGATAATTAATCATTAGACCTTCTTCTTTACCACAGTTCCTCCAGACTGAGAAGTCAGAGCTGTGTTTGCATCTGTTAGTGAGCAGAGATGTCAGGGTAGAGTGCAGGAGGACTGGCAGCCAGCAGTAGAGCCAGAGGCCTTGGCGCTAGACAGCTGATGCTGGTTGGTTTTCGTAAATGAGACACTCTGCCGTGGGCAAAGATTACAAACTGTGACGTCATGTTGCATTTTAATGGAAATGTGAGTGTTCAATCACTGTGCCCTCTGCTTGCTTATTCAGTTTGTTTTGAATCCAACGTGTCCTGTGTGCATCTTGTTGCAGTGCCGGGTTATAGCAGTGTTGGACTGGGAGCTCTCGACCTTCGGCCATCCTTTGTCAGACTTAGCCCATCTTTCCTTGTTTTACTTTTGGCCCAGGACACTGCCCATGATAAACCGAGGCTCTCACCTTCAAGAGAACACAGGTACAGAAGAGCAGTTATATACAATCCTCTTTATTATTGGCAGAGCTGAGAGACATAAGCTGGTTGCAGTTTTATGAAGCTTTTGTTCCTTACAAATGTTCCTAATTCATCTGAACTTTGTATCTCATTTTTTATAGTCTGTGACAATACACAGTTTTTTGCATATGCTATTACTTAGGGAATCAATATTTAGAACAGGCTCAATACTGACAGTGTTTGTACTGTGTGCCACATTGTATCTTGCTATGTTATGTCATTTTGAAATGTTCTCTGTGGCATTCTTATTAAGGTGTATCCTGTGTGGTGTTTTTCTAGGAATACCAATGATGGAAGAACTGATTTCAATCTACTGCCACCGCAGGGGAATTGACCCTAATCTCCCTAACTGGAATTTCTTTATGGCCCTGTCATTTTTTAAATTGGCTGGAATAGCACAGGTAATTATTTTAAGCAAGTTTCAGCATTTCTTTCTGATGTACTGTGAGCTATGTTTTCTGGTTCAAGCCACTGTTTAGCTCTGTGCTCCTCCAGAAGTCAAGTTAGAGATGAGTAATGTGTAAATTTAGAATTTACAACAACAGAAGACATCAGTGGGAAGAAAATGTGCATATCAACATGAGTTATGACTCTTTTGTACAGAGAAGGTCAGTGAGAGAAGACGTGATGATGGTAGGAAAGTAGGGAGAAGCAGGAGGTGGGAAAGACCTCGGTGCTTCTCTGTTGAAGATGGAAAAGTCTTCCCCCTTTGTTTAGTCTGGGAGCCACCCAGGGCATGGTGCCACCCGAATTCATCCAGTGTAGGTCTTCCCACCACTGTTAACTCTTTCTAGAAATGTACACGTGAACACACCCAGAAGTGTGTTCCCATGATGATTCCAAAGCCAGTCAAACTGACCATGCAGACGTGTGAGAAGAGGGTGTGTTAGGCTGGAAGCACAGAAGTGGAGAGTGTGATAGAACTGATTGCCATTCAGGTCACACTGCTCACAGGTCACACTGTTCACAGGACACAGTGCTCACAGGTCACACTGCTCACAGGACACAGTTTTACCCAAATGAGAAATCAAACATGATATTGAACAGGAAAGAACAGCTCATGGCCTTCTCCTTGGTGCTGGTGTCTGAGTCCATTTTGTTGGCTGTGAAGGAAAACAGTGATCAGTACAGGCCTTGCTACCTGCAGGTTGCCTTGTTTGGGGCAGAAGCTCATTTTCAAGTTTGGCTTGAGTCATTGGTTACGCTTCTGCCTGGGTTAGAGTGTCACAACTACGTGATAGGAGTGTGATTCTAACTCAGAGCCATACAGTGTCCTCTGCATGTAAGTTCTCAGCCTTTATGGTCTGACTGACATCTTGGGAGTCTGTGAGTTTAGTTCCCCACATGAATCACAAACTGGAAAGACTAATTGGAAGCCAAGAGACCGTTCTCAATGAACTTTAATTGTCCCATGTTAATTTATTTGCAGGGAGTCTACAGTAGATACCTCATGGGAAATAACTCATCTGAGGATAGCTTTATGACTGCCAGTACTGTGCAACCTCTGGCAGAAACTGGATTGCAGCTATCAAAAAGGTAAGGAAAACATTTTCTCTGGGTAATTCAAATTACAGCCTCAATTAGCTAGGTCTCATATGATCCCAGAGAGTCAGAAGACAGCCTGTGGTCCTCACTCTTCACTTAAATAGTCACTGGGTATGGAACACTTAAAACTTTAAGAAAATGGAAATTTATATCTCTGCCCAGACTAGGGCTGCTATTGCTAGTCAGGATAGTTTTCTAGTAAATCACTATATACCTAAAAAGATATTGACTTAAAAATGAAAAGAAAATGCCCATGTTTATGATTAAATGTATTCTTTGCCAACTTGAATATATAACCTTTTAATATATAGGTGAACATGGTTTCTTATAATATTTGTTACTTACACATACCTGTTTAAATGGCATTATTATATTATTTATTAACTTGGCAATTATACTTTTTCTTCAACATTTTGAAGTGCCTTTCAAGCTATGTCTGTATCATGGCAGCATTTCTGAGGGGTCTAATCTACCTTTCCAGCCACACTCCTGCTCCTCATACAATGAGTGACGACCACTACTAACCCCAGGGACATTTCCTAAGCTCCACTTACCCATGATACAACATTGGAATGATTGGTTTTTTTAAAGATTTATTTATTTTATGTATCTGAGTACACTGCCACTGTCTTCAGACACACCAGAAGAGGGAATCAGATACCATTACAGATGGTTATGAGCCACCATGTGGTTGCTGGGAATTGAATTCAGGACCTCTGGAATCTGGAAGAGTAGTCTGTGCTCTTAACTGCTGAGCCACCTCTCTAGCTCCAGGATAATTGCTTTTTACAACTCATTTCTAGAATGCTGTGTGTAATTTTTCCAACAGAACAAGGGTTTCATTGTGTTTCTCATTAGCCTTTTAGAGTCCTCTTTAAAATGCCCTGCAGTGATATCTGTGAGATGTGTGAAGAATACTGGTCAGATTTGTGCTTACCTTCCTTGTTCTTTAGTGGTTGTGACAGCAGCTGGCACTGAAGCTACCACTGTGTGAGGCCGTGTTAGGCTTCTGTTTTCCCAAGCAGCTATTTGAGCATTCAAGCTTAGTGATCAGAACAAAGCAATTCTATATTTGCTCCATGCTATAAAAAACAAAACTCATCCATGGGACTAAGGTCCTAGCTCAGCAGTAGAGCAATTGCCTGGTCTTGGCAAGGCTCTGGGTTTGCTCCCTCAAGCTGCAGAAGTGAACAGTTAGCTCCAGCCTCCCAGATACGGCAGCTCCTCCCAGATACGGCAGCTCCTCCTAAGGATAGTTTTGGATAGCCCCGGAGATCTTGCCTTATTTTAAGAAATATATAATAATGACTTCAGAACCCTTTGTAACCTTCTTTTTTTTTTCTTTTGCCCAGAACTCTCAGTACTACACCACCACAGGCTGACACTAAAGGTCAGCTGTTTGCACAGAGCAGGAGAGGCCAGGAAGTTCTCATGAGGGTGAAGCAGTTCATGAAGCAGCATGTCTTTCCTGCTGAAAAGGTAGTATGTGCAAGGACCATCGGCCAGTACTCCTTTCCTGGCCTTCAGCCTCCCACTTCCCTCAGTCCCCTACCTCACAGATATTGAGAGCTAAATTATGCCTGGAGGATACACACATACATCTATGGTTGGGAATCGAGGGAAAGGAACCGAGCAGTGAGGCTCAGATAGGTGGAAGTGGAACTTTACATCCAGTTGCCATTTGCTAAGGTGTGGTGACCTTCAGCTTTTGTTACTCTAAACGTGGATGCTTTGAGAATTTAAGAACCAACCGCAGTCTCCCCCAAATAGACATGGCCGTGAACTTTGGCCTGTCATTTCAAGCCACATAAATACTACCCTTTCTTTCCCTCTTAAGCTATCGCTTTAAGAGGTTACATTGAAGAAGTTCATGGGTTGTAGTGAGAAAACATTGGTCCAGTAGAGAATCATGTCCTGTCCGCCTTAAGACAGACTGGACACCTGAAGAGCCGCTGAAAATAAGAACGAGTCAGACAGAGTGTGTGCCCCTGGGGAAAGGCAGATGACGAAGAGGAGATAAATGCCATGAAGAAAAGGAAGACGCACTTTTGATAGGGTTTGTGTCTGTGAGGCGCTTGTAAAGGCCAAGTTGGTTCCAGTCAGTCGGCGGCTGGCGGAGGTTGGCTACCTTGTGCTGGGTCGTTGGTGTGGTCTCAGCTTTTTCTTCTGCAACATAAGCAAGTCTGGCTACAACTACTGTAAATCTCATTGTAACTACCTGCAATTCTGAGGGTCTAGAGCTGGACTAGAGTCAAATGAAGAACTCAAAAAGGCCAAAATTCTCCTAACAATGTTCAGAAGTGAGATGTGTTTATAGGGACATTAGTGTTATTGAGTTATAGGGCTAGGTGTCTTATTGGTAAATATCTTCATATGAGCCTTTAACATAAAGAGGGATATAGTTTCTTCAAAAATACTCAAGTATTAATTCTAAAATTCTCACCTCTCCATTGATACCTAGTAGCACTTATGCCCTAGCTAGTGTGTGTCCAATTTTGAGTTCAAAATTAAACTTTTGAGAATCAAAAGGAGAAAACAGCACTTTTAATTCAATACAGTAGTCTAAATTCACCATAACCCTTCCTCAAATAAAATTCAATTGAAGCTTCAGGACAATTAAATTTTAGGACATGGAAATTATCGAGCAGACAAGGGGCCACCAGAAAAGCCAATGCAAAGTAGATTTGAAAGACAGAGTGGATCATACAAAGAACAGTCCATCACAGAGGACGTTGCATTTTCAAAGAACTTTGAAAGGAAAGTGCGTTTTTTCCTCAGTGGTGAAGTAGGTGATTGAGTGACACAGAGAGCAAGGGGCAGAGAGAAGTCCAGGCGCTAGAAGAACTATCCGGCTTCTTGGGCCGCTCCCCTTCAACCGCACACAGCAGCTGTATCTGTCCCAGACAGAAGGCTGTCACAGCACTTGACAACAACAGAACACTTGTTTCCTGGAAGCCAGGCTCCGTGACTGTGAGTGAACTAGAGCACACCCTGGATTGTTGGACTTCTTGTCTACTTGGTGGAGTTTCAGCTGGAGAGCCCAGCTCACCTATCAGTTCATCTGACTCACATGTACTCACACTAATCAAAGCCTGTCTGCCACGTGCCCGGGCCTGCAACCAGCCCATGGTTCTAAGGACAAGCCTAGATTGGCAGAGAGAAGAAAGGGGTTTTCTCTTTCATCTGTAAATGTGACCAAGTGTTCCGGCAGCTGACACTGCAGCAGGGAAAGGAGGCGTCAGAGTGAGATTGTAGAGCCTCTGAACCCACTGTCATCCAGCTCTTAAAATATGTGCAAAGAACTCACAGCAAACGTAAAAACAAACAAAACCCAGACAGACTGTAGAAAGTGAAGGGCGTCCAAGCTTGTGTGGTAAGGAAGGCCACTTTGTGTTGGCAGAGCACTGGGAATCTGTGTTCCCAGTCTGATAGTGTGCACTGTCTTCACTCACAGACTTGTATCAACCTGTGAAGTTTTATCCTGTTTTATCCTGATTGATTGGAACAGCTAATTCCCTGCTGTGGGACATAGTCTGGGATGATTTGCAGAGGAGCAAACAGCTGCCTCAAAATAAGAGGAAAAACATGAAATTCTTTTCAATGTTATTACAACCTAGGTGGCAAACTAAAATGGGTATGTCTAGAAAACAATACTGTGTCGTGTACTACAGCAGTGTTTAGCGTCATGTATCTTTGGCTACTAAAATTCTTGGCGGCTTTTTGTTTATATTTTTATGTATTTTCCATAACGAGAGAAAAAAAAAAAAAGCTTGGCAGGGCTATTTCTGTGAGCTTTTGAAAATCCCCAGGTAGCCTAAAATGAACACACAACCCATCTCTGAAACTGCACCATGCCAGCTCTTCGTCTTGAAAGCCAGTGAAGAACACTAGCACTCCAATGTAGGACAGAACAAGCATCACAGTGTAGGGGCACACACGGGTCGTAGGGGTGACATCACCAGAGTTCTAGGGAATCTCTTCATAGTCACCAGATGATATGGGTAAATTCGGGGACCCTTATGGAGTTTATAGCCTCATTATTAAACGACTTTAAGAAGTGGACTCAGATGGAAGCTTGGGGCAATGTTATTAGACCTAAAAAGGAAAGCACCCCATGGTCAAGTTCTAAGTCTCAGCAGCTGCTTACACTCAGAGGGGAGAAGAAAAGCCATGCCATAACACTCCCCATAGTTCTCTTAGCTGAAGTGTAGAGAAAGTAGTTGATACAGAGATGTTTAAGCATAATTAAAGCCCCACATGGCATCAAACACCACATGGCAGGGAGAGAGGCTATAGAGAGAAGGGTAAGGAAACATAATGTGCCGGAAAAGGTGTGCTTAGGTTCCGGCCAGCATCCAAAGTGAAGGAACGGAGAAAGTTGTGTCAGAAAGATGGGCAGACCAAGCTAAACTCCCAGGTCGCTCAGCTCACAGGGATCTGGACTAGGGGCAGTTAATTCTTGGAAGGGAAAGTATAGTAGTTCATTAAAGGAGTAATTATGTATTTTTCCTATCTCTTAATCATGGCTTAAGATGAACCCACCCTCCTGGGGCATGTAAACACAGGTATAATTTGTTTTCTCAGAACTGTAGTGTCATAAAGAGGTAGTCAGAATGAGGACATCATAAACATCTTTCATAATATATTTATTTACTTATTTATTTTTTTTAGGTTTTTCAAGATAGGGTTTCTCTGTATAGCACTAGCTATCCTGGAACTCACTCTGTAGACCAGGCTGGCCTCGAACTCAGAAATCCGCCTGCCTCTGCCTCCCAAGTGCTGGGATTAAAGGCGTCCACCACCACACCTGACTCATAATATATTTATTACTCAGCACAATAGCACTGACTTTTTATGGCCACCCTAGGAACAGACATAATATGCAACCCCAAACAGGAAGCCTTCTGATTTAACTGACTTCCTGTCAGATGTGACAAGTACTCTCCATCCTGGAGCCTTTGAAAGTGCAGCTCTTCCTTGTAAGGCGCTGGACTCCAGACGAGCCTTCCTACCCCAAAAGGAACATGGTAGTCCATTGCCAAGAGCAGTGTAGTCTGGGAGAATAGTCTCCAATAACTTGATGATACACACAAAAAGTTTTGACAGTACCCATGACCTTTAACCCCATAATTCTCTTAGCTGAAGTGTAGAGAAAGTAGTTGATACAGAGACGTTGTATTTATATCTCTAAACTGTCATAGAACTGTCATCCAGGATTTTTATTGTATGTACTCTTTTAGGTGTACAAAGCAGAGGTTACTGTTTGACCCGAATAGTGTAATTTAGACTTTCCCACTTAGCTATTACTTTATCATTTATTCTTTCAACTCAGATGTTTCTTTTGGAGTCACATTCCTTTGCTAATAGTCTGTGGGAGCTCTTGTCACTCTCGTTTGGTTGGCTGTTTTGTTTTGTTTTGTTTTGTTGAGGGGATAAATAGTTAGTACCTTGCCTATTGATGATACTTTTATTTTGTTACCCTAATTCTTTAATATTCAGTGTTATGTTTTGAGGCATGGTCTCCCTAATTAGTTCAGTCTGACCTCAAACTCATGATCCTCCTGCCTCAGCTTCGAGAGTGCTAAGATTATAGGTATGTGCCACCACTAGCAGCAGCAGCCAACAGTTTGGGATATGAATTTCAGGTTGGTAATTACTTTCTCTCAGTAGTTGAAGATATTCACCCTTCAATTTCTTTTTAACATCAAAATTAAATTTGTTCATTTGTTTGGGGAGTTTTATGCATATTGAAGTCAGGTCCTAGGGATCGAACTTTGGTCGCCAGACTTGGCAGCAAGCACCTTTACCCTCTGAGCCATCTCACTGTCCTCTCCCATTGATCTCTAACTTCACTGTTGCCGTGGAAGTCAGCACTCAGCCTCCATGGTCCATTATATCCTTTTTCAATCACACTTTGCTTTTCTCGTTTCTGTGCTAAGTAATTTCTTTAGATCTTCCTGCCGTGTTGTTCAGTTCTCCATAGTCTGGCATTATCTAACTTTGGAGAGTGTGAGAAATGCGTGGAGAGCTCTTAAAGAAGAGAGGCCCAGTATGGTAGGTGCGCTCCATCGGTCCCGTGCCTCCTGCCCCGGAGGCGGGGAGGGGGGCGGCTTCTGGTCCCACCAGCCTTTCAAAACCACGGGAACCTTCAGCTTCATCACCAAGGCTTTCGTTTCCTTGGGTTGCCTTTCCAGTTTGTTTTGTCGGTTTTAGTATCCCATTGTCAAACTTGTAATTCCTTTCTTCTCGGAATCTGCTCACCACAACTATGTTATGCTGTGAGTGTGAGCAGTATCAGTGGCTAGAAGGAAACGACTGTTTTGCTTATTCTTGCCTGTGGTAGCTGGTTTCCTGCAGTGAGTAGGGATTTTTCAGGATGGACTGTGGGTTGAATTCCCCTCCCCCCCGAAGGAGATACATGAGTTTTTGTCCAAAGCTCTTTCCTCCAGAAGGGCTGGTTTTGTTCCGGTCAGCTGCTTGAGGCCGCTGCTGGCAGAACATTGTAAACTTAATTTGGGTTTGAGGCTTGAGGGCTTGCACAGGTCTGGCATTTGGATCCGGTGCTTGGGTGAAGGCAGGTTTCAGGGCCTGGCATTTTTTTTTCTTCTATTTCATTGCAAACTGAGAGCTGTGTGGGGGCTTTCTCCCTATGGTGTGCCTGCAAAGGTGCAGATATTTTTGTGTGTATTTCTCTGTTCTATTTGTTCTCTCCTTGGGTTTTACGGCTCAAGCCTCCTGGCTTTGATGGAATCAAAGTTCTAGATGTTCTGTCCAGCCCCTGGCCTTATTGCCTGTGTCCTGCTGATGTGGTCCATTGAGAACCAAGACCTAGGTCAGCCTCCACAGCCCAGAGGACAAACTTTAGCTCCCATCCTCCCGCCTGTCTGAGGGATGAAGCTGTTTTGTTGTTTTCTATAAGAACAACTGTGCATTACTTAATATATCCTCCGGATGGAAACATTTCACCCAGTCTTTTTGGTTGAGGGGTCTCTCTGCCCACTGTGTACCTTGTTGCTGGAGGCAGAACACGTAAACCTTGGGAATAAGATTATTACTGTCTATTACTGTCTAATATTGAGGCAGAGTGATTTTTGATGAGTAAACATTTAGAAGTTTTGTTATTCTGCACCTATTATTAAAAGGAAAGATTACTAACCAGGATGGTGGCACGCGCGCCTGTAATCCCAGTGCTTAGGCAGCTGATACAGAATTATGAGTTCCAGCCCACACATGTGGACACACACACGCATATGCACACACACACACACACACACACACACACACACACACGGTACTCATGGCATTGTTACTTTATTTAACTTGGCCTGATCATTTCCCCTTTACCTTCTTAAGGAAGTAGCTGAATACTATGCTCAAAGTGGAAACTCAGCAGAAAAGTGGGGGCACCCCTTAGTGATCGAAAAACTAAAGGTAAGACAAGAAGGCACTCAACATTGGGAACTGCATGTTTGGGGGATCTTAATTATCACTGTTGTCATGTAGGTAAAGGAGAACTACAATGATATCAATTTCTCCTTTTGTTTATGGTCTTGATAAATTGAGAATACTGGATTCAGCTGTGGCAATGCTGCCCCTGCTGCCCAACGCCCAGATGATAGGCGTGGTGCCTCATGCTCCAGGAGCAACTTTCTTTTAGGGCCGTGTCTCTTGTTTTTTTGTCTCTTGTTTTTCAAGACAGGGTTTCTCTGTGTAGCCCTGGCTGTCCTGGAACTTGCTTTGTAGACCAGGCTGGCCTTGAACTCAAAGAGACCCACCTGTCTCAGCCTCCCAAGTTCTGGGATTAAAGACATGTACTACCATGCTTGGCCATCAGAAGTTCCTTTCTTAAAGTAAAGTTGTTTTTTTTTTTAAAATCTGGGTTTTTAAAAATCTTATTTGTTTGTGGTGGCTTACACCTGTAATTCAGCTAGTACTTGGGAGGGAAGCTGAGGCTGAAGGTGGAGGAATGCTGTAAGTTAGAGGCTAGCCTGGGCTACATAGTGAGCCAGAGCTGCAGTATGAGTTCCTTTTTAGATAGAAAGGAAGTGAGTGGGGAAGGAAGGAAGGAAGGAAGGAAGGAAGGAAGGAAGGAAGGAAGGAAGGAAGGAAGGAAAGGAAAGGAGGGAGGGAAA